CAACAAATGAGATGGTCGTGGAGATCACTTGGAGCAGCTCCAGGGCTATTGCTTTTGGACGAGGACACTGGAGAGTGGTCCTAGTCGTCTAGTGGAGGTAGCTCTGTCAGGGCTACGCTTTTCGCGTGAATCCAGCTCTGGTTGTTCACCACGTGCTTTTTTGTATGCAATTGTGATACCTTGGGGCCCTGGAAAGCAATCTCTTGAACGGTAGCAGAGGGCCAGAGAGAGCATCAACGGGTTCCCCTACGTTGCTCAGACACCGAATCTAGGACTACCTATTACGTAATGACGGATCCATACTGCCGCATTCGAATCTCGGGGTGACTCAACAAGGGGTATACACTGTAGAGGAAACTCAAAGGCCCAACGCCACAGCGATAGGTCTTTGGGCCAAGTACATCGTTTAATTTCGCCATCGATGGACACCTCATCGTGGGCTTTTCTTTTTTCCGTGAGGCCGTAGGTTGCCCGGAATCCTGATTCTGCAGTTGAACGAGAGGGCAAACGAAAAAATCAGCTGTCGTCTGCAAACTAAAAAAAGGTCACTGCCTGAAAACAGTAACTCAAAGCCCAACAAACAACCGTGGTTCAGAGCCCCCTATGTGTAGAAATAACATAGCTGTTGTTGTGTGCGTGTACGACAGCGGTGAGCGTGTATTGCTGACCGTGGCCTAATGTGAGGAGGCCCCTTATTCGGAAACAACCACCTTAAATTGTCTCAACAAAGTCTTTTACTGTCGCACTGGCGCTCATTAGGCAGGTTGTTTCTATAAATTGTGAACGCACAAGCATTGACGCAATGTACTGGAAAGGCTCCTTAACAAGAATAGCTTCGACTTTTACTGTCGCCGTAACTCCTGACTGAATATCGTGTGGCAGCCCCTTGGACCCAAGTGAAAAATTTTTCCGTTGCCAATTAGCCCTCCCTGTGCCAACAAGGCAGACCGGGACCCCCCAAAAGTTGCCTTGGAACCTGGTGACAACTTTTCCTGTCTAAGGAAAAAAAGAGCATATGCAACAGAAGAAAAACCACACCACACCTGGGAGTTTGAGATCCAAAGCGCTGCACGTTTGTACGTCAGTCCATAAAAACCGTGAAACCAGGAAAACGTAACCATACGAGCCCTCGTGAGATTTTATATATAGAGCCCAAGAGATCGTATTGTCTCAGCTGTTTATTGTGTTTATCTGCTTGTTTACCTCCCGTACACATATACATAGTTGTTGCTTTACTATACAATTATAGATTACAGCTAGTGTCAAGGACACCCAACAATAGTACAACATGACACACACGGACATAACAGGCTCGCTCATAAACGAGTACAGAATCGTCAAGCTCATAGGGTCTGGTGCATACGGGCTCGTGTACCAGGCACAGAACACCGTGACCGGCCAACAGGTGGCTATCAAATGTATCTCCAAGAAGAGCAATCCAAGTGTGAAGAAACAGAGCGACTACCTCACGACGCTGTTGGCGGAACACCTCTTGGAGAGGGACTTCTCGCTACAGGGTCTTCGCGAAATGAGTCTAAAGAGACTAAGCATGGCAGACAACATACCATGTCCCTTCGTCAGAGAGATCAGTATCCACTTGCAAGTCCACCAGCACCCAAATGTCATCTCGATCCACAAGATCTTGGACTCTCAAGTTGCGGTCTTTGTCGTGATGGATTACTACCCAGAAGGCGATCTCTTTGTCAACATTGTCGATAGACAGGTATATGCACGTTCGTCCGGGCTGATAAAGGATGTCTTCATCCAGCTTATAGACGTCATCTCGTACTGTCACTCGAAGGGGATTTACCACTGTGACATCAAGCCAGAGAATATCATGTGTGCAAATAAGGGTTCAAAGGTTGTCATTGGAGATTTTGGGCTTGCAGTCAAGTCCAAGTACATTCAGTCAAAGACATGCATTGGTTCGAGCTATTACATGGCCCCAGAACGTCTGTGTACTATGAACCATTCTTTGACAAGATTGGAATATCCTGCTTGCAAGGGAGATATCTGGTCTCTAGGAGTGATCCTCATCAACTTTTGTTGCACAAGAAACCCTTGGATGAAAGCATGCGAGAAGGATGCAACATACTCAGCATTTAAGAAAGATCCAAAGATCTTAATGGAGATCTTGGACATCAGCGAGGAACTGTGGAATATACTCTGTGACTGTTTCAGAGAAGAGCCAGAGGAACGTATCTCCCTCTTCGAGCTGCGTGATCGTGTCTTGAAGTGTAGATCGTTTACAGTTGCAGGCCCATTGTCTCGTTGTGACTCATATGAACAGGATATGGATGATGCGCTTGAATGCGCTGTGCCTGCAAACGAGTCAAGCGTGGGAAGCGATGGCTCTTTGGATTTGCCAATGGATCACATTATAGAATATGCTCAATATTTGCAAACTCTGTCGTCGGTAAAGAACACCGCAGCAGGGAATTACACTCAAAACCAATTTGTTCTGGATAACAATATTATGGATAACGTTTCAATCATGTCTAACAAGAGCTTCAATATGAACTTTGCATGATCAATAACAGCTTTGCAAGTAATGGATACAAACTTGAAGGATTTTTAATAAACTAATACACGAATCTAATGACCTTTTTCTAAAAGCAATCCATCTACACTTTTTAGTTGGTTAGAGATATACTTTTATTTCTAGCTGAATGAATAAGCTAAGGATCACTTCAATGTGCTTGCTTTTTACAAGATAACGTGCTCAGAAGACAACTTCTCCAAAACCATGGAAGAAGCACCACCACCACCGTTACAGATAGCGGCAACACCAATCTTACCACCTTCCTGTTGCAAGACGGATGTCAAAGTGACCAAAATTCTAGCACCAGAGCATCCCAATGGGTGGCCAATAGCAACTGCACCACCGTAAACGTTGAGCTTCTCACTTGGCAAACCGAGGATCTTTTGGTTGGCCAAACCAACAACAGAGAATGCCTCGTTGAACTCAAAGAAGTCGACATCGTCAATGGTGATACCAGCATGCTTCAAAGCCTTTGGAACAGCCAAGGCCGGAGATGTGGTGAAATCCTCCGGGTTCTGTGCGGCTTCACCCCAACCCAAGATTCTGGCAATTGGCTTCAAATTCAACTCGACGAGCTTCTTGTGAGAGACGAGAACAAGTGCTGCACCACCATCGTTAATTGGAGAAGCATTGGCAGCGGTGACGGTACCGTTCTCCTTTTGGAAAACGGTTCTAGCGGTCTTCAACTTTTGTTCGTTGAACTTGGTGCTTTCCTCATCAACTTCAACAACAACATCTGGCTTACCTCTGAAACCCTTGATAGTGACAGGGGCAATCTCAGATTTGAACTTACCAGCAGCATGAGCAGCTTGTGCCTTTTTGTAAGAGTCGATTGCAAAGTTATCCTGGTCCTCTCTGGAGAAGCCATGGTCACGAGCACATTTTTCAGCACAGACACCCATGGCATCATCGCTGTAAGCGTCCTTCAAACCATCACGGGCCAAACCATCTACCAAGACGGAATCACCGTAACGAGCACCAGAACGAGCAGCTGGCACGTAGTATGGAGCGTTTGTCATGGACTCAGCACCACCGGCAACGACAATGTCGGCGTTACCCAAGATGATTGTCTGGGCGGCTATGATAGTGGCCTTCAAACCAGAAGCACAAACCTTGTTCACGGTAGAGGCGACGGTTTGGACGCTCATTCCAGACTTGATGGCAACTTGACGAGCTGGGTTTTGACCAACGTTGGCTTGAACAACGTTACCAAAGACAATCTCCTCGACATCAGTGGCCTTGATCTCTGGAACTTTGGCGAGAGCAGCCTTCACCGCGTGAGAACCAAGATCGACGTAGTTCTGGGATGAAAGGGAGCCTTGGAAGGACCCAATTGGTGTTCTGGCAACTGCAACAATGTAAGCGCTGTTTTCAGACATCGTGTTATCTCTGTATTCTAATGAGAGGATCTAATGGGTTGTAGACTTAATCGTTTAGCTATTTGGGCAACGGTTTTTTTTGCCTCGTTTCGTCTCGTTTCGCGTTGCGTGGCTCTGGACTGCTTCGAAGTCGATCGCGTGGTAAATCTGTGGGAAGAGAGAATTCGTTGGGTGGTGAATTTACCTGTCCCTTTCTATTTGACTCAACAGTTAAGGGGGAAGAACAAAGGGGAAGAAGAGAGAGAGAGAAACCCCCATCTGTGGGAAATTTGTGGGAAATATATAACCTTCTCCGCCAATTGGGTTTAACCGAGTGAAAGCTGACAAACGAACGCGGTTCATCACTTTTATTATACGAGCAGTGGGAGAAAGGATGCAATTTTAGAGGGGAAGATGTCCGAGACCCTCGTTTAGTGAAAGCTTCGGGACTTTGGGTCCTGGCGAGGTCGAAAAGTCCCTAAAGTGGAGTCCCAAGTCCCGGCCTGATCACTTTAACGAAAACGGAAATATTCCGCAATTCTTTGTTTACATTTTGTGTACCGCAGATGAACTTTGTGTGGGCGGGTGAACCTTTTTTGGGTCTTGTACTGTTTGTTTTGTTATAGGTGCTCTTCCCAAGGTGTAAACTTCCCGTCTACACCACCTGGCTTCTGACATTGTCATCTTTGTCTGTATAGGAGTGGCTTGGATTAGGTGGTTTCTGTTGATTTGTGCTACCTTTCTTGAAGGATCATTGGGATTACGCTGTATATTGTCAAGCAACCATGGATAAGCAACAGAATAAGTATAAGACGTTCCAGAAGCGTTCAAATCGCAATAATAATAGCAATTACCAGAAGAGCAATGGTTCCCATAAGAGCCAGTGTCATACAAACCAACAGCAGCAGCATCAGCAATCCCATCATAAAGCACAGAAGCAGAACGCAGAGGCTGCTGCCACCATCACAATCTCATCGATTAAAGAATTCCCAGCATCCAAGACGTATGGATCTCTCGATTATTGCTTGCCTTCCAAAGTGGAAAAGATCATAAGCCACACAATCAACGATCTTCCAAGCTTTCCTCAGAGACCTGCTGCCAAATGGAGCGGTGTATCACCGCTGGGCTCGTCCTTACTAGATCAGTACACCGGTTCTGACCCTTCAATAAGGGCCAGGGACTTGATCCATGATCCTGTGATGGAGATCGTGCTTGTAAACAGAAAGAATGCAAAGACGTTGAAATTAGGCTCTACAGATATCGACCTTTCGGGTAAACAGCCTGTTTTGACTACTAAATTGGTTAACAAGTTTATTCAAAAGGAATCGTTGTCCAACCAGATGAATACCCCTATGAAGAGAGTCAGAGATGAGGCAGTGGATGCAAGTAGCTCTGTCAAGAAAAATAAGCGTATCGCTAGTGTAACACAGGCAGATACAACCATGGAGCTCAGTTTTGAAGGAAAGGCAATGGATAAGAGCGATTTGGTTAAACTAGTCGACTCCAGTGGTGTAATGCAGGATGAATCCCAAATTGCTGTGGATATGGATGCCAGCATGATCGACACGAGAAACCTTTTACAAAGTACTGAGTTCAATTTTGAGTACTATCGCAGAACATAAAGACCAATTATATCTCTGAAGCTAGAACTTTGCTACTCAAAAAATGGTGTAAATTTCCCCTTATGATAAATACATTTCAATTCCTTCTGTTTTTTTCTTCTTCTATGTACAACGAAACGAACACTTTCATCCATCATGTTAGTTTGAAGCTTTACAGCATGTTCTCAGAGGGCATACTGAAAAGCTTACTTTTTCCATGACTTGTAATACTCTTCATCACAAGAGCAAAAGACAATCACTGTTGCTTCTCTACTGTGAACCCTGGATCACTCTTTCTCAACTGTCTCTCCTCAGCTTTAGACAAGGCATTCTCCACCACTTGAACATCCACTAGTTCCTTAACCTTAAGAATCATACCAGCGCTATGTGGTCCAACCTGTTGGTATGCGACAGAACCGGTCTTCCCAAGGCCAAGCTTGGTGACCGTATCCTTGATGGTCTTTGGGAGAGCAATAGTTGAGCGCTTCAGCGTTATTCTGTAGAAGGACATGGTGATTATAACAGTTTGGTATACTTAACACTCAAGTCTCCCACTATACCATTGTCGGTGTCGAATTAGTTCGATGTTCTAGTTTTTTTTCAGCATTTCAGATGTTGCGCCTACCATCTAATTTCTACAGAGATGGGAATCGTTGGCACAATGAGTAGAGGTTTCAATGTTCGATAACACGATCTTTCAATCTTCCCAATATAGCTTGAGTAACCCTTGATGTGAATGGCTAACTGAGTGTATGATAATCTTAATTATCTGCTTTTTTTCGTACCAATCGGACCTACTAAACCTTTGTACCCTTAAGCGCAAGTGCTGTATGTCCGGGTGTTACAGAATATCTTACATTTAAGTTAGTGATTGTTTCACCATAGACTGTATGCCATGTCGTCAATGAGTATAGCAAGAGTTGTATACTGAGAGTTTTATGTACCAACTTATGGTATTAGTCATATTGAAGTATTTTTAACAGCGATTTGAAACGTGAAATCATTAGCTTTAGAGATTTATTTTTGGTATTTTTGACATGTATCACTTTCGAAGGTCTATCAACTAAATTTCTAAAAGGTAAATTGGACTCACCCTTTTTCTTTTACACTATTAAAATTATTCGCCATTTACACCGTATGTTGTCACACCGTGCTGATGTGGTTATAAGAAAATTGAGACCATCATGAACCCGAGCTGATTATATTCTACGCAACTGTATGGATTGTAACTTGAATTAAATAGTCTATATGAACTATCAAATCAACACAGTGACTCAGTTAAACGCAACTCATGCTGTCGAAATAACCATATTCTGAAGTCATTGTGAAACAATGGTTAGTATATAAAGATCAAAGCACCCCAACACTCAACAGTAGACCTATATACACTGTTGCACGTCACAACAGGCAACCCCATACATGGCATAATTGAAATCCATCGGACCAGAGGGTGCTACTACGGGCACGGTGAAAATCCCCACCAAGAAGAGTATATAAACCTGTCACCATGGACGGACCCTGGATCAATTCGCTCATCAGTCAACCGGCCAAAACCGATAACCTTACACAATCCAGAAATGCAAGTTAAACCTTTCCCACTCTTTAATCTTCAAACCATGTACAATAGGGGGGAAAACGTTATGCATCATTGTTGGATAAGAACTTGGGGCGAGAAGCCTCCCCAAAGCACCTAAAGATCATACAATGCAAATAACATAAAAAGCGGGGCATATCCAACGGGGGGGGGGATTTCGTTCATCTCCATTGGAGATCTGGAACACTGATAAGAAACCAGATCTAATGACATCAGCACCTCCGTTGTTTTCCTTGCTCCCTCTCCAAATCTGTACCACCTCGAAGTTCCATGAGCGAAGCGATGTAGCATTCAAGGTGTATGCTTCCATATGTGAATTACCATGACGTAGAGCTATACAGCACCCGCAACGGACTACTTTGCCTACGGCGACGATTGGATTGGCTGAAAATACCCGTACGTACCCAGCACCACCCAATTCGGCAGATGCGTACTTGCCTATCCTGGCCGCCATCTGTTGCGCTTAGAATCAGCACACGAGAGAGAGAACGGAGCGAAAGAGGCTGTTTCGGCGTGCTCCTTCGACGCTTTGGTGCACGGTATTCGAATTTCCGGTAGGGACCGTTATCACAAGCCGGTACGCACACGAAACACTCTCGGCGATGACCAGATTGGGATGACGGCGTTCGATTGGCGAGAGATTCCTCAACGCTGTCTTGCCCAGCACCGTCTGCTCCACCAGGAAACGGCCCACCACACAATGAAACCAGTACACCATTCTGACCAGGGCTCATGATTCACCACGTAGCCCTCAACGGTATTGCCTAATGGCCCGCACTTGTGTCTGTAGTTCCGACCCATGGCCTAGATGAGGCTCCACAGTGCCACGCTGGGAGTATCCCCGGCGAAATGAGCCTGCAACAGCTTTGGCCTCTGAAAAAAATTCCGTTCATCTGCAGCGTGCAACAGCTCACATGGGAGATATTTCCGGTGTCCCTTACAAAGGGCAATTGGTCCAATTAAAGGCTTTCGCCGACGGACAAGTTTTCGATAAGATCAACAGGTTGAGCACAGATACGGAGGTTGTATAAAATCTGAGGATATTGCCGCCATGGAGAAGCTTTAGAAGAAAGTTGTGTTCCTTTTTTTCTTTCTTTCTCCATTGTTTTCATAAACACACACTATTCACATTATCACAGCAACAATGGTTGACACCACTGGTTGGACCATTGACGAATGGGTTGATTTCCATCACAAGACGACACCAGACGTGTCACTTGAGATTTTACAGACACTGGTGGCATCGCAGAAGATTGCACCGGAGGATCCTGCCTGGATAAGCGTGGCCTCCTCGGCGGAGATTGAACACCAATGGAAGATTCTCCAAGCGAGATCGAACAAGAACGAGCTCAAGCTGTACGGTGTGCCTGTGGCGGTAAAGGATAACATTGACGCCAAAGGATTCGAGACCACGGCGGCTTGTCCATCGTTTGCATATACTCCAGAGAGGGATTCCACAGTGGTGAAGAACCTGAGAGAGGAAGGTGCCATCATCATCGGTAAGACCAACTTGGACCAATTTGCTACTGGGTTGGTTGGTGTCAGATCTCCATACGGCAGAGTACCAAATCCATTTAGTGCTAAGCACGTCTCTGGTGGTTCAAGTTCAGGCTCTGGAAGCGTTGTCGCTAGGGGTATCGCCTGTCTTGCGTTGACAACAGATACCGCTGGTTCCACACGTGTACCTGCCGCATTAAACAATTTAATCTCTATCAAACCTTCGGTGGGCGTGTTTTCATGCTCCGGTGTCGTTCCAGCTTGTAAGTCATTGGACTGTGTTGGTGTCTTCGCCTTGACATTGGGTGATGCTGAGACAGCCTTTGATGTTATGGCCAAGCCTGATACAGACAACGATGAATACTCAAGACCACTACCACCAAACCCACTCCAGAGCTTCGGATCGAAGCCAAAGATTGCAGTTCCAACACACATGCAATGGTTTGGAGAGGAGGAGAACCCAAAGCTCTACAAGAAGGCTATCGAGAACTTGGCTGCAACAGGCGCAGAGATTGTCGCATTGGACTTTACAGACTTGCTTGATTTGGCAAAGTGTCTTTACGAAGGTGCCTGGGTTGGTGAGAGATATGCTGCCACCAAAGAGTTCCTTGATACAAACCCACCAGAAGAGACATTGGACAAGACAGTGATCGGTATCATTAAAACAGCAACAAAATTTGATGCCGCTGACACTTTCAAGTTCGAGTATAAGAGACAGGGAATCCTTCAAAAGGTTCGCAAGTTGTTGAAGGACATTGATGTTTTGGCTGTTCCAACTTGTCCTTTGAACCCAACTATGGAGGACTTGGAGAAGGAACCGGTCTTGGTTAACTCTCAACAAGGTACTTGGACAAACTTCGTCAACTTGGCTGATATGTGTGCATTAGCACTTCCAGCTGGATTCAGACCTGATGGCTTGCCAAATGGTATCACTTTGATCGGTAAAAAGTTTACTGAGTATGCATTGTTTGAATTGGGTTCTCGTTACTTGAAGAAGGCCTTTCCTTCTGAGAGAACTATGGGTGCTACTAAGAAGTTGGCTCTCCTTGGTGATGAGATCCATCCTCCAAAACCAGATTTGTCTCAGTCTATCAAGTTGGCTGTTGTCGGTGCTCATTTGAGTGGTATGGCTCTTCACTGGCAATTAGAGAAGGTCAATGCGACTTTGCTCAAGGCCACAACCACTTCTGAGGATTACAGATTGTATGCTTTGCCAAAGAATGGTCCAATTGCAAAACCAGGTCTCAGAAGAGTTTCAGAGGCTGGTTCTAAGATCATCGTTGAAGTCTACTCTGTTCCATTAGAGAGATTTGGTGAGTTCATCGCTATGGTTCCTCAACCTTTGGGAATCGGATCAGTTGAGCTCGAAGATGGTGAATGGGTGAAGTCCTTCATCTGTGAGGAATTTGGCTACACACAGAAGGGTACTAAGGATATCACGTCATTTGGTGGCTGGAGAGCCTACATCGAGTCAGCAAAGGCTACTGAAAGCAGTTCAAAGCCTTTCAAGTCCGTCCTTGTTGCTAACAGAGGTGAAATCGCTGTGAGAATCATGAGAACTTTGAAGAAGTTGGGCATTCAGTCCATTGCTATCTACTCTGAACCAGATCAGTATTCTCAACATGTTTTAGATGCTGACGTTGCTATTCCTTTGAATGGTACTTCTGCTGCTGAAACATACATTAACATTGAGAAGGTTATCAAGGCTGCTAAAGATTCTAAAGCTGAAGCGATCATTCCAGGTTACGGATTCTTATCTGAAAATGCTGAGTTTGCTGACATTTGTGAGAAGGAAGGTATTGTATTTGTTGGTCCAACTGGTGATTCTATTAGAAAATTGGGATTGAAGCATTCTGCCAGAGATATTGCTCAGAAGGCTAACGTTCCTCTTGTTCCAGGTTCCGGATTGATCTCTGATATCGACGAAGCCATTGCCTTTGCCTCCAAGCTTGGATTGTCCAACGACCCAGAAACTTCTGTCAAGGTTATGCTGAAGTCTACTGCCGGTGGTGGTGGTATTGGTCTTCAGAAGGTTGACTTGCTCGATGACTTACCAAAGGCCTTTGAAACTGTCAAGCACCAAGGTCAAGCTTACTTTGGTGATGCTGGTGTGTTCTTGGAGAGATTTGTCGAGGATGCTAGACACGTTGAAGTTCAAATGTTTGGTGATGGTTTTGGTAATGCCATTGCTGTTGGTGAACGTGACTGTTCTTTGCAACGTCGTAACCAGAAGATCATTGAAGAGACTCCTGCTCCTAACTTGCCAGAATCGACGAGACAGGCTATGAGAAAGGCTGCCGAGCAATTGGGTGGATCCATGAACTACAAGTGTGCTGGTACCGTGGAGTTCATCTACGAAGAGAAGAGAGACGAATTCTTCTTCCTGGAAGTCAACGCTCGTCTGCAGGTTGAACATCCTATCACTGAAGCGGTCACTGGTCTCGATTTGGTTGAGTGGATGTTGAAGATTGCTGCTAACCAGGCACCAGACTTCAAGTCTCAAACCATCGAAGTCACTGGTGCATCCATGGAAGCCAGACTTTACGCGGAGAATCCTGTCAAAGGCTTCAAGCCATCTCCAGGTCAATTGACTGATGTTACTTTCCCAGAGTGGGCTAGAGTGGACACATGGGTTGAAAAGGGTACTGTTGTCTCTGCCGAGTATGATCCAACTTTGGCCAAGATCATCGTTCATGGAAAGGATCGTGCAGAAGCATTGAAGCTGCTTCAAAAGGCGTTGGATGAAACTGTTGTCTATGGTGTCATCACCAATTTGGATTACCTGAGATCTGTTGCAAACTCTGAGATGTTTGAAGCTGCTAAGATGCACACCAAGATTTTGGATTCTTACGATTACCAAGCCAATGCTTTTGAAATCTTGACTCCAGGTGCTTACACTACTGTTCAAGATTACCCAGGTAGAACGGGTTATTGGAGAATCGGTGTTCCTCCTTCTGGACCAATGGATTCGTTGTCTTTCAGATTGGCCAACAGAATTGTTGGTAACGCTAACACTGCGCCTGCTATTGAAGTGACTTTGAATGGCCCATCAATGTTGTTCCATGCTGACGCTGTAGTTGCTGTCACTGGTGGTGAAGTCGAAGTCAAGGTGAATGATACAGTTGTAAACCAATGGGAGCCAGTTGTGGTCAAGAGAGGAGAGAAGTTGTCCATTGGTAAGTTGACCAAGGGTTGCAGAGCTTATCTTGCTATCAGAGGTGGTGTGGACGTTTCTGAATATCTAGGCTCCAGATCCACCTTTGCACTCGGTAATATGGGTGGTTACAATGGTAGGGTTTTGAAGGTTGGTGATGTCCTCTTCTTGGGTCAAACATACCTACCATCCAACACCTTACCAGCACCTATTTCTGAACCAACTGCTTTGCCAAAGGACTTGATTCCAACTCTTGAGAGTAAGGAATGGACTGTTGGTGTCACTTGTGGTCCTCATGGTTCTCCAGACTTCTTTAAGCAAGAAGCTGTTGAGGAGTTCTTCTCCGCCAAATGGAAGGTTCATTACAACTCCAACAGATTCGGTGTAAGATTGATTGGTCCAAAACCAAAGTGGGCCAGATTGGATGGTGGTGAAGCTGGTCTGCATCCTTCTAACCAGCACGATTATGTCTATTCTCTTGGTGCTATCAACTTCACTGGTGATGAGCCTGTCATTCTGACATGTGATGGGCCTTCTCTTGGTGGTTTCGTTTGTGAGGCTGTTGTTGCTGATGCTGAAATGTGGAAGATTGGTCAAGTCAAGCCAGGTGATCTCATCCAGTTTGTTCCAATCTCATACCAAACAGCTAGAGATTTGAAGATTAAACAAGACTCTACAATTGAGACCTTCAAGGGTAGATATCCAACAGCTGTTTCTGCTGAGTTGATTTTGGCCAAGCCAGAGAACCCAGTTCTAGCTACAGTGAAACCACACGAGCAATCCCCTGTTGTTACTTATAGACAAGCTGGTGACCGTTATATTCTTGTTGAGTATGGTGAATTGAAGATGGACTTGAACTACTCCTACAGAATTAATCGCTTGACCAACTTGGTTGAGAACCACCAGACTGTTGGAATTGTTGAAATGTCTCAAGGTGTCAGATCTGTTTTGATCGAGTTTGATGGTTATAAGATCTCCCAGAAAGATCTCTTGGAAACATTGATTGCATATGAGCGTGAGATCCTCTTTGAAAACAAATGGAAAGTTAAGTCTAAAATCTTTAAGCTGCCAATGGCATTTGAAGACAAGAAGACTCTTGCTTGTGTAACCCGTTACCAAGAGACCATTCGCTCTGAGGCTCCATGGTTGCCAAACAACGTTGACTTCATTGCTAACGTCAATGATATCACCCGTGAGGATGTTAGGGACATGTTGTACAGTGCCAAATACCTTGTCTTGGGTCTTGGTGATGTCTTTTTGGGTGCACCATGTGCCGTTCCATTAGATCCACGTCATAGATTAATGGGTACCAAGTACAATCCATCAAGAACATACACTGCCAATGGTGTTGTCGGTATTGGTGGTATGTACATGTGTATCTATGCCATGGACTCTCCAGGTGGTTATCAATTGGTTGGTCGTACCATTCCAATTTGGGATAAGCTGAAACTGGGGGCTCACTCCACTGAACATCCATGGTTGTTGACTCCATTCGATCAAGTTGAATTCTATCCTGTTTCAGAGGAGGAACTTGACAAGTTCACTGAAGATGCTAACCACGGTCAATTCAAGGTTGAAATTCAAGAGTCCGTCTTTGACCATGAAGAATACTTGAGATGGATCCAAAAGAACGCCGAATCTATTAAGGAGTTTGAGTCCAAGCAAAACGGCGAGAAGGCTGCCGAGTTTGCCCAGTTGATCCAAGTTGCCAATGCTGACTTGGAAAAGTCTGGTGGTGTTAAAGCTGTGGAGGAGGAGAAATTCCCAGAGGACGCTGAGCTTGTTTATTCCGAGAACAGTGGTAGATTCTGGAAGCCATTGGCTAAAGCTGGTGACGAAGTTGAAGCTGGACAAGGTTTGATTGTCATTGAAGCCATGAAGACCGAGATGACTGTTTCAGCTCCAAAGAAGGGTAAAGTTTTGAAAATTATACACCAAAATGGTGATATGGTTGATGCTGGTGATCTAGTTGCTGTGATCCAATGAATTTACCATAACACTTTGTATATTACGATGAAATGAAGTTTAAAAATTGTTACAATCTATTCGTTTGTAGGATGGTCTAAGTTTCAATCACGAACAATTTCATAGAAGAGCATATAGACTGCCCAATTCTCTTTCAGGACATCATCTTTTCTGGCTTCTGTTACTGTACTATCTGAGATTCTCCAGAATGGATACTTCGTAACAGTTGATATCTTCTTAAAAGAGGTTGGATCTTGTGGTTGCTGACAAGGCGAAGAAGGTGGGTGGTTTATACCGAGACTTCCAGTGCTTTCGCAGAGCTCATCAAGATTGTTGGTCGGTGTCGATGAAACGTTACGACGGCTTGTAGTTGATGGACTGGAGCTTAACGAAGAACGACGTGAAACCAAGCCTCCCAAACGAGTTTTGAATCTTGAAAAGTGTGAATCGTCATCAGAATCTAATCCGTCTGCTGAACCACGAGAAATACTCTCATTAAAAGCTTGTTGAAGACCAGAGTGTGGTTTTGGCTGTACCACTGGTGATGGTGGTTGTGACGATGAGGCCGACTGAGACGGTTCCTCACCCCAATGAATGGTTGGCGAACGGTTGATAACATTGCCAGTTTCCTTATCCTTAACCAATTCTGGCTTATGACGATAACATTCGTAGTGGCCCGCGTTATGAGTTCCATTTTGTCTAACCATCGCTTTTAACCTGTAACGTGGATTTCCCTTTCTAGCGTTCAACTCCTCCGTAATTTCGTCATCGTCACTTGTCAATGAGCCTTCCTCACCGGCCCCATCTTGCGAATGAAGAGATTCCTCAGTGGAAGAACCTGTCTTGTGAATTCCAGCTCCATCACCTTCTAAACTATCCGTCGTTTCAACATGGTCAACATGCTCAGAACCCTCCTTATCATTACTTTCCTCGTTATGTTCAGTTAAGATCTTGGAATGGATCTTCTTCAACTCCACTGGTTCATGTCTATCGTCATCATAACCTTCAAGTTCATCATCAATGTCATCAGCAATGTTTGCAGTATCATCTTGCACGCTATTCAGATCACTATGCGATTCACCATGCATTCTGATTCTAGATGTCTTCTTTGTGGCTCTCTTTCTACTTTCGTATTCTGAAGCCAATGCCTTATCAACTTGGATATCTAACAGATCTGGAAATATCACATTGCAACCATTTCTCTGTATATGATTTGAGACGAAAACAGATCTGGAGAGGTGAATCGTCAACAGAGAAGGTGGTCTAATAATCAAGGTCTTCTTAACAATGGTTGAAAGTAAATTCTCCGTAGCGAAGCCCTCGAACTTGTAATTCTTCACAAATGAGTTGAGAGGCTCTTCCAAGTCATCGTTAATGGTTAAACTTGGTTCTAGAATCTTCAACCTTGAGATGATGTGGGATTGCTCCTCGTCCAAGGCAACGTTCTTAGCCATCTTCTCATCCTCAACTTTCAATATGGCCTTAACTTTACATCTTAGACAATGATAACCGTTAATCGTCTGCAATTCGTTTGATCTGATCATGTTGTATAATGTAGCTCTCGTCTCCTGAGGCACTGATAGTGACAGCATCGAGAACGGGTGGAATGAAGGCCTTGACGAGTTCAAACAAGAATAGCAGGTGAGCTGATCTGCAGCGAGTCCATCAAAAGGGAAGTCAGGGACTGTGACGTTCAAAGCATTCTTTGCAACGTATTTCTTCAACTTCTTATGTTCATTCCCCAGTGTTTCCACAATCAATTGAACCAGCTCTTGAGCATCGTTCTGATTTTGAGAGATCTTGAGGTTGAAGATCGCCTCTATGACATGCAATAGTGGCCAAACAGAGATGTACTTTTTAGACTTGATGGGCTCTTGAAGTTGCTTGACGATCTTTGCCAATGCCTCGTGTAGACGTAGGCGAGGGACCTCATTCTGGTCGTCGTCAGTATGCGGTAGAGGCAGACATGAGATCAACGACTGATCTCTATAGATTTCGTTGAGGTATATCGTCAACTCCGGCAAGGATGCAAACGCCTGTATCGAGGAATTGGCAAAGCAATCGTTCCGTGTATTGATCAGCCCTGTGGTGTACTTATCGGCTCTTTTGGAGGAGAACATCTTCTTCCGATCCTCTTCACTCGTTAGGTACCAAGCTATGGAAGGTGAAACAACGTATAGTGTGAGCAGTGAAACCGTGGTTAACAATAGCATGCGCAGTCTCTCAGACCGTGTAGATAGCTTCCAATACCTCAGGTAAGCTCCGTGTAACAAGCCAGTCGAGAACCTCTGAATGTAATCCTCCCTGGTGATTCTAATGACCGGTATCTGTTGTAACTTCGAATCACTGAACCAACGCTCTAAGAGGGACATCAAACGGCAATGCTAGAGAGAACAACCCAATGGAGAAACAGCAAAGAAACACACTCAGTCTCTCAACAGCAACCTTCAGCTGTACACTTCCTTCAGGCCTCAGAATAATAGCAATGAAGCTGAAACTGTAGACAAGTGCAGCACTAACTCCACCAAAACGTTCACTAGTGACCCACTTTGCTAGCACTCAATATATGCTGTGGATAGCTGCCTGGAAAGAAACCCGAGAGTGTTCACCACCACACCACTTTCCGTTCACCGAGCGCTGTGTTTAGAGGAGATAACTGAGGCTTTTTCCTCTGTTGAAAGTCTTTCAAAGAGGTTTGTCTGTGTGAATTGGAGGCCTTTGTGTATCAACAACCGCAACAACACACACACCAGGCTTTATCACTGTGGTTGAGATGAGATCGAATGGTGGAGAGGTCTGTGTACTGTGGTTTGTAGAGAGAAATGTCCCCCAACCTGCCTGCTGACACAGCGTGGTGCAACGGCCTCGGCACACGCCGCAGCCGTGTGCTCGCTGGTGTTTGGATGTTTTGGTGTCTGGATGTGTATTCCCTCTCACTTCAACGTATATTCAGTTGTGAATAAAGTACTACATAGATGCTTCGATATCACCATCTGTAACGCGAAGTATGGACTTCAATAGGCTTAGAGGACAACCTGTACAGAGAGATAACAACGTGTCAAAGCTCAGGGCTCCGGCAGGCTCTCCAGGAGTAAGGTTCAACCCTCCAGATACTTCTTCATCTGGAATCGCAAGAGATGATGATAGAGGTTCTTCGACTTTCCCCATGGCAAATTCGTCTCAGAGGGCGCTGAGTTCAAGGAAGAAGGTTGTTCTGGAACCAGGTTGTTCACCCTTGGATTGGGCAAGGCTGACTTCATCTGGGGAAAACCTTCGAGGCATACAACCACAAGATTTCCCCATGAAAGTTGATAAGAAGACGTTGAGCTTGCACAACAACAGACAGGACTGTTGGACAGTGTTGAAAGGCCGTGTCTATAACATAACATCCTATTTGCGATTCCACCCTGGTGGTATTGAGGAAATTATGAAGTGCGCAGGGAAAGATGGAACGTTGCTGTTTATGAAATACCACGCTTGGGTCAACTACGAAAGAATGTTGGAAAACTGCTTAGTTGGAGTGTACATAGGATAGGCCACATAGGATAGACATCATAGAGATTCACATATTAATGATACAAAGTTTCCGACACTCAAAAGCTAGCTAGAGAAGAAAACGGGAACAACCGATTCTCAGATTGAGTTCTTTGCCTCCTTCCATTTAGCATAGTCCTGTTTCCACACATCCATATCTCTTCTGGCCTCAATGTTGAAGGACTCTTGGATATCTGTGCTCAGTTTTCTCCACTCAGCACCTGCAAGTTTCACCAAGTCCTTTGTAGCAATACCTGGGTTGGCATTCAACAAAGCCTCTCTGTTCTCTTGGAACCATCTGAAGTAACCAGACAATGGTCTCTTTGGAGCGGCATCCTTCTTAGCTTGTTCCACTTCAGCAGTGTAACGCTCTTTGTCAGCCTTTGCAGCACTCTCAAAAGGTGCCCTTTCGGCAGCATTCAATTTATTCCATTCATCTCTCAAGATTTCGTTTCTCTTTGCAAATTCATGCGCCATAAGAGATTCCTTACCGGTGGCATAACGCTCCTTAACGTAGAAGAAGAAGGCTGGAACGGCTTTCTTAACACCTGGCTTCTTCTTACCTTTCTTCTCCTTAGTGGCACCACTCTCAGGCTTCTTTGTTGCGACTTTCTTCTTTCCCTCAGAGGTCTTCAACAGCACCTTCGCAGAGCTTGAGAATTGAGCAGTAGAAGCCAATGGAAGTGTACCTCTACTCAATGGGAACACGGAAACTCTCAACAGTGACAACATCTCTCTCTGTCTTTGCTTGATTGTTATGTTCTCTTGCAAATTTGTGTAAGGGAGGAGAGCACAATTTATCCCTTTGTTTACATTTTCCGCTTCACGAAAATATCGCGTTACCACGGTTATCGTATTCCAAAATCAGTACCCGATTAGGCAATCAATGGACCAACCGATGAAACGCTACTAATATTAGAACTCCAATTACCTAATTTCTTCCCATTTATGATATATATATGAATGTGGTATATACTAGTATACATTGCTACCCATGTAAGAATGTCTCCTTGCATGATTAGAGGGTTGTCTTGCAACAAGAAGCAGAAGCTGGGTTAGCAGATGGGCCATTTGTTTCCTCGTAGTACTTTGACTTGTTGAAGTTGTTGTTAGCCAATGGAACATCCAAAGCCGGGTTTCTCTCAAAGAACGAAGCTGGGGAAACGAGGAATTGCATGAAATCGGAAGGCATGACTGGGAATTGTTCGGTGACTGGAGGGTGGGTCAAGACAAGCGTTGGCCAAACAACGGTATCGGTGTTTCTCACACTCTCATCCCTCTTGAGCCACACTCCCAAACCGGTGTCACTTGTAGATTGGTTGGTGAATTCACCAGCAGCGTACAGCTCATCATCTCTGTATTTGGTGACGAAGAATTGCTTCTGTGAAAAGGTTGCTCTCTTGGTGTTGAAGGAGTTCTTCTGTGCAAGCATCATTTGCTTGGCTGGCATCTCAAACTTGTAAGCAACTGGCTTACCAGTGACCTTGTTAATGACATTCTCGTTGATAACCTTGTAAGTTCTGTTTGTGAATGGAGATTGCTCAATGTAACCTGGCTTTTCGATAATGGTTCTCTTACCAACATAACCAACGTTGTATGGGTTCAAGACTGGATCCTCGTCCATTGGTACATAGTCATCATAACAGACGGTGTTCTTGTCACCATCCAATCTAGTGTCGAATCTGAAGGACAACAAATGTTGGTGGTAAGCAGCCATAACACCAGGACCAATGTTAGTACCCCATGGAACTTGAACACCTTGGTCAATTGGCATGGTGGACAAGATACCAGTGGCTCTGACTTGAACAGTGATTGCACCAACTTGGTCAAAGACAAAGTTGACAATGTACTCGTAGTTACCAACTGTGGCAATGGTCTGAATGACAAATTCACGACGTCTTGTGACAATGGAGTTACCATTTCTGTAGTTGACATGCTTGAACAGGATTCCGTAATCTTGCTCATGGATACACACTGTGTTCGTCAACTTGATAGGCTCAGCGTCACGGTTGATACGCAAAGTGTCCAAGTACTTGATAACACCCAAACAGTCACATCCCAAGTTCAACTGGTTTGCGTTGACACCGAAACCACAATCACCCAAGTCAAAGGCTTGCTTTCTGTGGAATGGAGCTCTTGGATCACCGTATGGAACAGTCATCTCGTTAAGAGCAATTCTGTAGAACAAAGAACGACCTTTGAAATGAACGTCATAGAGCACAACACCTTCTCTAGCGTTGGTTGCAGCTCTGAACTCCCACCCTTGCCATGTGATTTTACCACCTTCAATGGTGAAAGAGGCACCTTCTGGCTGTTGAACAATGAGTGGCTTAATATCACGCAAAACAGTCTCACCGTTCAAATCTGGATGGTACTCCACTGCTGGAACTTCCATCCATGGTTGGGTCGCAACTGTCTTTTCGTCAAATCCAGCTGGCAAGTAGTCCATACGAACAAATTCCTTGGACAAGAGCTTAAAGACAGGACAGAACTTGACTGGAAGAGAGTAGTGGTTGGCATCCGGATGGTCCACTTTCAAATAAGTGTAACATTGAATCAAAGGCTCTTTAACGTCAAGGGAATCTGTACCGTACATCCATGGGTCGATGGCAACCTTGATATGGGAAGGCAATTTCATCTTTGCAATCTCTGCAAGCACCTTTGGATGCTTCAAGGCCAAGTCTTCAATCTCCGCCAAATCTTCTGGAAGCAATGGACCTGCATTGACATCAGAGACTGGGGAACTGGTGATGATATGGCCGTAAGTGACGTTAACGATCGCCTTGTACAAAGGCATCTTGGAGTCCAAGTAGTAGTAGGCGTACGTTCTTCTGGCGATGGAAGGCAAGTCACCTCCGTAACGCTCAATGTCCAGGTACTTGATCATATCCTTCTTTGGAGGGTCCAATCTGTCCAACTGGGTGAAGTGGACATAAGACCCGCTGTGGTGGTCCTTGATAAGCTTACCGGTGAGTCTAACCTCAGCGTCGGTGATGGAGTCGAATGGATGAAGTGTCATGATTTGATCGTGGATAATGAGCTGTACTACTGAAGACACAACTTGCAAGTGGAATCTGGAGAGGGATCCGCTCATATATTTATACACAGACAGACAAATCCATATACATCAAGATCAACCCGATTAGCGACCGTGGAGGACGAGCACCGCAAGCACTATCCTAATTGGGAAGTGATACATAAGGGAGCGCCATAAGCGCGCGGGCGGCACAGATCAAAAGGCCAAATGTATTTTTTTTTCTTTTGCCGGGATTCGCTGTAACTCCAGTGATAGCCAGTGATTTCCGCTCCTCTTTATACGACCTTCCTTATCCGGCTAGTCGAAGAAATCGTCCTCGTCCTCGTCCTCGTTATCTGCTTGCGATGCTGTGTAGCTTGACGATTTATCTCTTCTCGAGAAGACAATCTTGGTCTCATTACGTTTGGCCTCATCCCTTGCTAGCCCGTTGAGGATTTGTACAATGTCGTCTTCTTGGATCTTTTGACGAACCTGTCCGCTCTGTACGAGTCTCATTATGTACTGCTCCACGGCCCTGGCGCGGTCAGGTCTAACCATGTTGACACGGGACAGACGTTCGCGTGCACTTGGTTCGAGGACCTGGCCCAGAGCTGCGTTTAACGGTTGTTCTCTAGAGAAAGAGTTCTGTTAGTCAGCATCCTCAGATCATTACTATGTGGTAGATGTTGTCGTGGTCATGTCATCTCATCCCACCTCATCGCCATCCTCACACCACGAAGCCCAGCATTGGCCTCTTTATACACCTTGAAACTTACTCTCCACCTTTTTGTCCGGCGTTCTTCTGAAGCTCTTGAAGTCTTGCAGCTCTTATAGCTTGTAGCTCGGCGTCATCCATGCTTAACAGTCGTCTTCCTTGCGATTTGTGGTGTTCGTCCTAAGAGTTCCACTCTCGTTGTTGTTGTTACCCACGGCGTTTTCTTTCCCTCTCTGCCAACGACTGTAGAGCCCGCGAAAGTTTCCTAATTGGGATGGTACACAGTACAAGTTGCGCTATAAGATCACTCTCCATTGTCGTGTTAATGATGTTATATAGGGAGGGTGAATTTTCATGCTAAACCTCTCTGCTGTCTTGCCATAGCCTCTCTCCTTAGTCTCTGTAGTTGTGGCGAGTTCTGGTGTTCCTGAGTATCGTAAATCACCGGGTAGTTCTTATCTCCAAAGGGCCTGTCTCTCTTAACCCTAGCGAAGAAATTATCGTCATAGACATACCCTTCTAGTAAAGATGGGTCGTCCTGGTGCTCATCAGTTTCATTGTCTTCAATGGAATGAGATGTATACATGGACGCGTTGGCAACAGATTGCGCGTCTTCCTTGGAGCCGACAGTGAGCATAGAGTTCGCATAGATGGCCCTTGTAGATACGTTCGCTGAAGCTATTGAGCCTGCTCTCGGTTTCACCAATAATGGTGTCTTGGAATTTGCAGCCCGCCCGCCACTGGCAGCTGTGCTGGCATTGGGCAACCAATACTTCTGTCTACCGGAATCTGTGAATCTCAATCCCTCGTTGAACCTCGCCATTCTTGATTTTGAAGTTGGATGTGCAATTAGGGCCTCAACGCTATCAAACCGTCTATAGTCGTATTCATCACCTTGGAAAGTTGATTTGAAGTCATACAGGAGATCGCCCAAGCCAAATACATCCTTTAGAGCAGTAATAAATGGCAATCTACCACACCCGGGCAATGCCTCTGCTCTGTATTCTGTCCATGAGAACGAGTGCCAATGTCCAATAGCAAAGCCAATCAGCTCAACGCATAGTAAAGCGTTTTGGATGGCAAATCCCAAGGTATTCCCATCATCATATCCATCACCAGTTGAGTTGTTGGGTAGCACGCCTACCCAGTTTAAAACTGCTAGTAGAATACCCTGCCAGTAACTTGCAAAGATGATCAATTTAACACAGAGAAACTTCCCCCATGGATTAAACGGTTTCAAATCGGAATACATACACTTCCAAAACAGTGCCAAATCGTACAACGAAACACTCACGCTGATGTTGTATATCAAATTGATCACGAAGTAGACGTTTATCCCAGCAATGTCATTCAACCCAGTGATTTCAACAAGGGCAAACATCAAGCATATAATCGGCTTCAACCAAACGTATTGTAATATACCGCGTTTTATCGCCAACAAAGAAAACGGATCACTTATATCAACAGGGGGTAACACCTTGTTAAACGGTGGTGGATGGCTCACTGGGGGCCGCCCACTCGTCAATATCACAATGTTTCTCTCGCCCCCCAGCAGATGTGTCAACAGTGAAAAGAAAGTATATATGACAAACGCCTCGTAGATCTCCCTGACAGGCTCGATGATCAGGCTCAGCCTGAACGATCTCAATGAGATATAACAACTCACAGCAAATAGCGGTATCATCAGCTGGATACGGACAACAAGCCTCTGCTGATAGGGCTTCCGATAGTTCACCAGCTGTCGCCTTATTCCCTCAAACGATATCAGCGAGGCAACCAGCGCACACAGTCCACACACGCCAACGATCCAACTGGGCAATGGAGATTAGTACACCGTGACAGCCAAGAGAAAACGAACAAAAGATTCACATACTGCGGAAGGACACCCATTGCTTCTCTCTATACGTGTGGGTTGGTGATGTAATTCTGGTGGATGGCATCCGCTTTGTCACATTTTGTGTATGTTTTTCTTGTCCTTTGTTGACAGGCGGAGAGAGGGTTATCTCCCTCGAAAAGTAAACAAGGACTCATCGAATGGAGACATAAATAATGAGAGAGCTTCTACCAATGGTTTTGCTACTCTTCCTATTTGCTGTTGGCTCATGTGCTGGTGTTGCGTGAGTTGCATTGAGCGTGTGCTTTGTGAAAAGGCGTGTATACTAATACGATGGTGTGTATGTATAGGGTTCATACTGCGATGACATCAAGGGTACACAGCTACCTACCTGCCGACCTTGATAATTATTACCCTTATGTACTCTCAGGTTCCTTTTTCCCAGATAGCTTCTATACGTGTGGCAGCTCTGAGGCTTCTGAGGCCATACACTGGCCTCCATTCTTGCAAAAAGCTGTGCAGTTCTACAGATCCAAGTACCAGCGTCATGGAGACACTGAAGATGCCCGCAGGCTTCGGGCATTCCTCTATGGCGTTTTGACACACCAGATAGTGGATTCCTCATGGCATTCGATAGGCATGGAGGAAGGCCTATTGGTGTATCTGGCAAATGCTGACTTCGCAGGCGATGTAGAGAGGGCCCACCAACTGCTGGACACTGCAGGTGACTTCATGCTTATGAGAAGGTTTATGGATAGAAGTCTCTTCACCATGGATTGGGAGTATCCGAACTGGGACGATATCAAGGGTATCCTGGAGTTGATGGATATCAGCCTTCCTAAAGAGATGATCAAATACTGTACAATGAGAGGCGAATCTGCACTGAAGGCTGAGGAAAAAATCGTTGATACAACTGCAACTGTCTATACAAGGATATCACCTCTTCTAGATGATATTCTAGAATCCTACCATATTGGTGGATTACAAGAGACTACTGATACTGCAATTCGATGCTTACCGGAGCTCGACGATTGGTTTGAACATGGTGCTCCATTAGATCCATGGCTGCTGTGTGGAGCGATACCAAGACCCCAAGCTATAGGAAAGACCTTGAAAGGAGATGGTACCATTATAAGTACGTATTCTCCAATGTCTAAATTCGGACATGCCTTGGCAATTGGTAACTTCTTGGAAGAGCCTTCGCTGGCGATAAGTGCACTCATCGAAGATGGGGTTGGCTCTGTCTATGTCTTACCTCTGAGTGACTTCACAGACGTTGAGACATACAATCTGAACTCACCTGTGTTTTTAAGAGGGATGAGTTCTGGAAAGAACAATACCTTCCACTATCAGAAAAGATTTGGTCAAGCGTTGGCTCCTTACAATGTCTTTGATATAACGTACTTACTCGTAAGTGAGCCAGGAACTTCCTCTGTTCATATATTCAAAGGTGCAAATTTGATATTGACATTCCACGATTTCCAAGCCTCTTCACAGTTTGGGTATGGTGGAAAGAATCAACAAGGGATATCGTTACATACATGGGATCTGAACAATGATGGAATTCAGGAAATCTTCATCACGGCACCATTGAACGACGTAAATGGATCTCATGTTCAAGGTGAAGTCATCGTGTTGGATGGGGCAAAAGTGTTACAAATGTTAGTCATATCACCAGGGTACGAGATTATTGATATGCAATTTGTCATTAGTAAGAGGATCACTTTACCGAAAAAATATGTGCAAAATGGGTATGAACAGTTTGGATCGAGTCTTGCTATATCTGCTGACAGTATCTTCGTTGGTGTTCAAGGATTCGGGGCTGTGATGGTATTTGACCATGAATTTCAATTTCAATATTCTTTCCAAGGTGAAAGCGTTAAGAACGATGCTTATGGACTAAAGGTCTCATCTGAAACTGGTTTATATGCATCAGAATGGATACTTCATGGAGAATGGGAAGACGTTCAATACGTAATCGTTGGTGCACATCGGGAGGATTTCAATGGAATTCAAAATTGTATATCATGTGGTGCAGTTTACGTCTATGTTATCAAAGAGCGTCCAATATTTTGCACGAAATTACATTTGGAACCGTTGGCAGCAAATTCATTTGCACAATTTGGAACAGGTGCTGCTATAAATAATGGGACGTTATACGTATCAAGTCAGGGATATAAGGACAACAGTGGGAAGTTGTTTTCCGTTAGCATGAATCAAGTGCTCAAATCACCGAGTGAGTTATTGATAAAGACACCAGTTGTTGATGGTGCGTATGGTTATAATGGATTCGGTAAACAACTTGTAATTCATGAGGATCAAATAATTATTGGGGAACCTTTATTTGGATATGATGAGCTTTGGGATGACACTAAAAGGCTTATGGGTCGCGTGGGGATCTACACGTTGAGATAAAGAGCATATGTACAAGGTTATGTGTGCTATATATATATATATGTACAAACTATGATAGTGTATTTGCCTGTATTTTTTCAAACTCTTTAGCCCTGGCCTCCATCTCTGCTTTCTTCTTCTCTTCTCTTTGTTTTTGCTTCAGGATTCTTTCCAACTTCTTCTGATCCTTGGACGATTTCTTGTCAGTATTCTTTGAGTCCTTAGCCATTGGAATGACTGTCAACACGATTCTCCCACCAATGTTACCAGATGTCTCCACTTCAGCTACATCAGCTAAGATATCTTTCAATTTGGTCAAGGTTTTCTCTCTTTTGATCATTTCCAGGTCGTTCAACTTTTTGGACTTTTCAACATTTGATGCTTCACTAACATCGAATGCTCCTCTCATATCGTTGAAATTGTCCTTTGAATCAATAGCAATTGTCAGCTTGTAATTTTTCTTCAAGTGTGACAAGATTTCATTACATTTCTGGTTCTCCAAGTCCATCGGGCTAATCTCCCATGAGACTTTGACAAACTTTACATTCGAGTCTCTCTTCTTCTCTCTTGTACGCCCGTACAGTTTGGAGATCTCCATGGATCTCTTTTCAGCAAAAGTTTTCAAGACTGATTCTTTATTCATCAATCTAAGAAGTGGATATTTGTGATCCTTTACAGTTTGAATGTCAACAATGTCCACAGTTTCATCGTCCTGCAATTCTTTCAGCACTTGTTTGAAATGACACTTCTTTGGAGAGCCTTCATCCCCAACTTTGAGCACTTGAAACTGAGGATTCACCTCATACACCCTTTTGAACAGATCCGTATAGTATTCATTCTCTCGCAGGGATAGCGATTCCGAGTATTTGAAAGTCTTTGGGTCAAAGTGTGCGTAAGGGTCATTTACTTTCTTCTGTGGCTTCTTATAGTGAGTATTTCCGCCCTGTGAAGCGTGCGAAGCAGCTTGTGGATGTGTTTTTGGTTTGAAGTGCTTCTTTGTTGAACGGTCATCTTGGGTGCTCTTTCGCAGCTGAGCCCAGTAATCAGTCTGTGACGACTTCTTCGAAGCAGCTGTGAGGGTTTCAAGTATATCCTTTGTGGATTTGGAGTAGCACCTTCTCTGTGTCCTTAATAACCTTCCAATCATCCCGTATACAGCTTTAACTGGTTAATGTTGGTCAAAGTGGTAAAGAGGTGTAGGTCATTTCGATGCCCTCTTTGCAAGAAAAACTGCGTAGAGGAAGGCTCAACGAAAACAGAACTGGCAAGAGTCGAACTTGGAACCTCGGAGTGCTTATCTCCACGCAGAGTATAAAGTGCAAGAATCAGCCAAAATCAACGGCCCTTGTGCTCTCGTGGCGCAGTGGGCCGCCCTCTCTCTCCCTCAAAGAGTCTGTATGAACCTGTCTTCAAAAGGAGATCAACCCCAAAAGGTTGATTCTCATGGGTGTTTGAACCACTCGGCGTAAACAGGTGGGAAATTCGGTGGTACACTCCGTCCAACTTCTAATTTACTCTTGAGAGTATCCAGGCGAGGAAATTGCCGGGCTGTGGCCATAAGAAATTAAGCCCAGGGGGGATTTCCCTCCTGGACATGGGAGCGCTACACAGGACGGTTGGCTAGTTTGAGCTGGCTATTGAGTGCAATATACAGATCATCACCTCGGTGGTGGAACGCGATACCGATTACTTCTTGGAGGGGAGATCTCTTTTTTTGTTTGGTTGTTCTTTAAAATTGTGGAAAGGAGAGACATTGACTAAAACTTTAGCTGGTGATATATTCAATTGCTTAGTGTTTATACTGATTTTGTGAGATTTATTTGCTGCTTCAGACGGTGCTGATGATTACTCCAATTTTGGTGCTTTGTGTGGGTGTGTGGGTTCGGTTTTCTTGATCGCGGCTTTTTTCCCATTGCTCGCAACTTTACCTTACCTTGAGACACATTGAAGCGTCCAGGTTAGTGTTTCAAAACTACAGGCTATAACCATGGTATTAAGCAGTATACGTAGAATATTTGCATCTGTGCGTTCAGAGGAAGAGGAGAAGATGTATTCGAGGAAAGCTGTGAGTTATATGTACCGGAAACCCTTGGTTTCCTTCTGTTAGATTTGTCCGTGGTATTAACAATCACGATGTAAAGTTCTTCAACTTGTTAGGGTTTCTAGGCTCATGTGTGGTATTCTCCTTTGTTGCACAACAAATGGCACGTCAACCAAGAGAGCTAGCGGCGGTGGCTAAGGCGTTGGCTTTACAAACGGCAATTACAAATACATGACACATTTAATACACATAGTTATCTGATTCTTTTCCCTTGGTGCTTTCCCAAGGGAATAATATGTACAAGTGATTCGTTACTTCATATGCAAATAAAACACTTACTTGTCCCTTTACCCCAGATCTTGTTTCCACAATAATCCCCCAGTCAATTCATTCATATCAATGAATGAGGAAATGCTTTGCCATTTCATAAGAAGTCCATGCAATTGCCGTTGCAGGAACATTGGCTATAACTCTAGGCCTTAGACCTCTTGTAAACCCCTTCCATCCATGGATTTCATAGATGGCCCTAGCAGCCTTAGATAGTGTATCAACCTTTTGCAATCTTGGATCCTTAGATACACCACGGACTTGTAATACAGTCTTGATGCAGTCCATTGGCGTGGTTAATGCAGCAGCTGTGGCACCACTGATACCACCACATAGACAGTGTACGATTGGATCATAGTCATTAGTTGGATTCATAAGTTTTGTTGAAGTTTCATAGATGACAAAATTTAATGCAGCAAAGGGAACGTTCATAGCCACAGTTGTCGGGTAAGAATAGTAAAAACATGCTAGACCTTCATTTTGATACATTTGCTTAGACAGTTTGAACATGCTCAGTTCAGAGTTGCCCAACTGCATTCTCTGTTTCACCGTGTCAAATGGATTCATCAATGCATCTGCTGCAATTGTAGCACTTGAACCCGCCAATGCAGTACTCAAGATGTTGAACTTGTCATGATCTGTAATAAGAGAATCTTTAACCCACTCGTACGTAGCATAATACACCGCATGTGCAGGCCCTGCTCCCATAACCATCGAGTTTAAACCCTTGAAAAGAGCAACGGAACCTTCAGTCGTTGTGATCTTTGTTATTGCGCTCAGAACACCGGTATAGGCGGACCCTAGCCCACCAGCCTGCATTCTGGTCTTTATCGCATCGATGGGGAACATCACACTGTGTTCCATAATACCTGCAAATGCGCCAGCTAAGAGCTGGGCCCCCAGTGTCGCACTGTCAGGGAGTGCTTCGTAGTCGATCTCATCAACAGCCATTGAGATGGTCTATACCTTTCTTCCGTTTATAATAAATGCAATATGCTGGATAGGCCAAAGTTGAGGGTTGGAAAACACCGAGATAGTACTCCAATAGATAACCTCGAGCAAACACCGAGAATCGAAAATTAAAATGATACAGAAGAAGAGAAAGCAATCTTTCTCAGTGTTTCTCCGTGTAGTTTATTAGTTTAAAACAGAGTCAACTGCCAAGATCACACCCTGAATACAAATCACCAACAGTCCCGGAGTCAGTTTATAAGGGTTTTACTTTGTAGGTGTTTAAGTGAACGAGAAAGATGTGTCGAAGTTTGTACTTTTGAAAAGAGGTGGAAATTTTCTTGTTCTTTTATTTCTTTTTTTTTCTGGTGCCTCTGTGCTCTGTTCCCGTACACCGATTTTCAACGCGGTCCTGTATTACTTGATCTTTTAGATTGAAACCTCTCTTTAGAAGCACAATTGGATTGTACTTTGTTGAAATGTGGAATTAGACTACCAACGTGTATAGAACAGCAAAGAAGACAAAAGTTTGCGAAATAATGAACAGAAAAAAATAACAGTACACACTCGCTAAGATTCTCCTCCTTTCCAACGCTTGTTGCCCGTGGACTCGGATTTCCGTAGAAGCGCACGGCCACCGCTAAACGGATAATCCATTGTTAATGGGGGGGGGGATTACAAACCGTGCGGGCGTTTGTATAGTACAAAATTCAAAAAACACTGACCTCCACCACACAAAAGACAAAAAGAGTTTCAGCGGACATTATTTTTGTCTGCGTTTGTCATTACGCGATGGCCATGTCCCAAACGCTCATGCTTTTAAAGTTTATAAAAGGGCTATGGATTGTGGTATGACAAGTGGTATTTGGTGGACATTGTCCGCTTGGGACACACAAATAGTACATAGCTGTACAAATCCCTTACTTAAATGTGACTTTCGTAGATTCACCTTTTTCTATACTGATCTAGAATAATTCCTTCTGCTCCGGAACAAGAGATATAACTTTCCCAGTCTTGATGACATTCTCAACGTTTTCAACAACGAACTCCTCCATGGCTTGGATGGTCTCAACAGAGTGGGTACCCATGTGTGGCAGTGCCAAAACGTTTGGTAAGGAAACCGGTTCTAAGTTGACGTTTGGCTCGTTCTCCAACACGTCCAAACCCGCGGATCTTAGAGTACCATCCTTGAGCGCCTGGATCAATGCGGTCTCGTCGATAACACCGCCTCTAGCGGTATTCACCAAGACTGCACCCTTCTTCACTTTGGCAAACACATCGGCGTTGAACATATGCTTTGTATGCTTGTTCAATGGCACGTTAATGGAGATGATATCACTAGTAGCTAAGAGTTCGTCAAATGATACATATTCGGCACCACCTTCCAACTCTTCATTCAGTTTGTTTCTATTGTGATATACGAATCTCTCAAATCCAAATGGTTTCAACTTCTTCAAGA